GAAGAGTCGTGGTCTTGTGCGTGCTCTTCTCGCGGTCAATTCATTATAAAAAGGGTGGAATTTCCCCCTCCCAAAAGATAGTTCAGTTCAAGCCCATAGTCTAGAGTCTATAATAATATAGTTCCATAGTTGTATTGCCCCTACAAGATAATAAAGTTATTAATAAAGCCCCTTGAACCACCAATACAATAACGCTCTTTAAAAATCGTTGCACTTATCTTGTAATGCTCCTTAAAAGATCGCCTTGACCTTGTGCCAAATCGTAAAACCGCCTCTATTATCTTTGAGGAACGTTACGCGGCATAATCGTTTTTCAAGCGACAATCCGTCGTATTTGCCCCATCTCTGAACTCGACCATTTAACTCGTCACAATAGATTTGATTTACATAGTCCCCAACGTAGGTAACATAGTGGTGGCAGAAAAAATTCGCGATCAGGTGATTTCTGATCGTTCAACATTCAAATTGATCGTTGATTGGGTCACAATCACCTGATCGCGAATTTTTTCTGCCATCACTATGTTACATCCCCAACGTCGAGTGTAGATTTACATAAAAGAAGCATCTTCCTGTGTTGTGAACACAAAGTAGAATTTTCAATTATATAAAATAAATGTGTGTCGCTAATAGAAACCGAAATTTTAAATATAAGTCATATTTAAATTTTGGGGGTTTTTTTTAGCAACACTCAAATGAGAATTTACTTCGTGTTCGCAGCGCAGAAAATTCTCCTTATGCAAATCTGGGTTACACTCGACAAACTCTTGACGCATTTTTAATGCAAAAACAGCTGTTCACAATATGAAAAACCTGTGCTGACAATAGCAGATATGGACAATGATTTTTATCTAAATAACATTAGGACTAGGGTGTTTTTATTAAAATTAAAGTTGTTATGCATTCATGACAGTGCACCGAGATGGGTTTAGACTGTCGTTTTCAATATTTTTTTATTATTATCTAAATTTGGCTAATCTCCAGAAATTTTGTACTGTACGCTGTTGCTGTCAGGTTAATGTCATTGACTATTGACAATATAAAGAGAGAAAATGATACTCGCCATGCCCTATTTTGAGAAGCTTAACATTCTCTAAGCTAATAAAGTTATAGGTGTAATATTACTTTGTTAGGAGGTTAAATACAGAAAATATATGGCAAAAATGAGTACGTATAAACATTAACGCGTTTTTTTTTTAAAAGGAAAATCTGTATATTTTTTTCCAAAATTATCATATATTGTTTTTATATTTAGTTAAATAAAAACAATGTTGCTACTTTGTAGATTTCTTTCTGTCGCTATGTATTTTTATTACCAAATAAAATATATATATATTTAGTAGAACACCATTTGTTTTTCTGCAAAGCTCAAATTTTAAAATTTTCTCTTTTGGATTTGTTATTTTTGATAAAATAAAATTGAAAATTTAAAGAGGAATTTTTATTTTGATTTGCATTAAAAAAAATTAATTCAATTATTTATTTACTAATTTCCTATTTAAAACAAAAAATTGTACACTAATGATGTTTTCTAGAATCTTAATTTTATTATTTCTTATCACATATGTATTGTCAGAGGGCACAGAAACTAAATCATCAGATTATTCCAACCACAAAACATCTACAGGTTGGGCCAAACCAGTTGTCCCTACCTTTCCTGCCCCACCTTACACTAATGACGTTAGTGTCCCAGAAGGGACACCCATAATTCCGGGTCTTTTGCCAGGAATGACAGAAATTCCTGCTGTACCTGGACAAGATATTGCTGCAGCGAATGCAAAAATATTTGCACTTGATAGTAAAAATATTAATCGGGAGGTAGAAGGTGCATTAATAGAGACGAGTTTCAAAAGTACA